CTATGACAACACACACACAAATTAAAGTGTTTTCTTATTCTTGGTCTAAACTGAAATGAAAGGTTCTGTTAAGGAGCCTGGTTATCTTGGACCTAAATAATACTTAACTCTCGGTATAAAATGTAACAAATGTGACGAGATCATAGTTGAATGACGATAGTGCTGCAGGTGCAGAATGCTTCATTTAATAGAGCTCATTTCAGATTAACACATGTCAACCTGTGGAACTCCCTGCCAGAGGATGTTATGAAGGCCAAGACTATAACAGGGTTCAGAAAGGAACTAGATAAATTCACGGAGGATGGGGCCAGCAATGGCTATTAGCCAGCATGGGCAGGGATGATGTCTCTAGCCTCTGGTTGCCAGAAACTGGGAATGGGTGACAGGGATGGATCACTTGATGATGACCTGTTCTGTTCATTCCCTCTGGGGCAACTGGCATTGGCCACTGTCAGTAGACAGGATACTGGGCTGGATAGACCTTTGGTCTGACCCAGTATGGCTGTTCTTATGTGAATATTCAGTGACATGTGATTTCATTCCTAGCAAGATTTCATCCACCAGTCTCTAAACATGCTTGTAAATATGATAATGAAATCAAAAGTTTGGCAGGGACATGAATTCTCCTGCTTGGGCCATACACCAATGTCTAACCAATGGGCACTGGGAAGAAACTGTCCTCTGGGCAGGTTAGTATTGTTAGCAGTGCTAGGTTACGCTGGCACCTACTCATCACCAATTAAGGATGAAGGCCCCATTGTGCTAGGCGCTGTACAGACAAGTAACAAAGATGGCAGTCCTTGTTGATTGGCTGTGGCAGACTTGGTAGAGGGTTCTGCCCTTTACCTTTGCCATGTTCTTGGAAGCTCTGGTGTGATTTGTGTCTGTGGCTTTGGTGAGAAAGCTTTCCCCATGAGCTGTCTCTGCAAGGAATTCTAGGGCACTCCACAATTCTATGGGGCCCGCAGAAAACCATCTCCATCCTGGGGAGAGCAGGTCACTCATTGCCTTCGCCGCCTGTGTGATGAACTTGGACTGTTCTTACTGTGGTCTTTAAATGCTGACAGGGGAGTATGGCTAGGATAGTCTGCATTGGGAGATGGGAGACTGACCCACGGAGAATACCTGAGCATGTAACATGAGAACCAAGGAAGGGGTTAGAGGCCAGGTGACACCTTTGCCCGGGAAACTGAACAAAGGTGGTGGGAGGGGTCGCTGAAGAGAGAGTTTTCAGGAGCTGGCTGGTGAAAAGGCTGGGAGGTAGACAGGGCTCTGACCTCCCAAGGGGGCTGTGGGGCCCCGAGACCCCAAGATGGACCTAACTGGGGGGGAGTCTGTTGTCTGTGCCTGCAAGACCTGTCTTGGACTGTGTTCCTGTCATCTAAATAAACCTTCTGCTTTACTGGCTGGCTGAGAGTCATGGTGAATCGCAGGAAGCTGGGGGTGCAGGGCCTTGTGTCCCCCCACACTCCGTGACAGCCTGCCAAGCTGAACATCACGTGAAAACAGCCAGGATATGGCCATCGAATTAAGGAGCAGGGATGGTGAGAAACGTGACTGGAAACAGCCCCTTGAAACCCTGTGTGCCGTGACTGTAGAGGCCAAAATTAATGGTCTGTTACTTCCATTGGCCCTGCAGAGCCGTAAAGTGGGGAGAGAGAGAACTGGAACCTATGAGGCTCAGACAGCAGCTGCAGCATTTCAATGGCCAAGCCTTTCCCTCGAGCTGCACCAGAGGTTCATTACGTCTGTCTGGTACCATGCCCCTCGGCCAGGCCAGAGTCACTAGCGATGAGGCACTAGCCGCAAGGCTGGGTTTCGGATCTGATCAGTGCCTAGTAAAGACGCATTTTATTTCTAAACCAAACCCCTGAGCTACATGGAACCCCCTGGTGCCATTTCAGAGACACTTTTCCCAACTTTAAAGGTCCACGCCCCCTCCATAAACTATACCCCCCTTGTTAGCCACACACTGAATTTAACACCTCAAGGAACCATCAAGACGCTGCTAAACCAGTTTACTCACCGGGCTGCCACAGCAGTGGGAGGTTACGGCCTGTCCTCACGTTACAAAGCGGCACAATCCAGTTCCAGACCGACCGAAGAACTCACGTCCGTCTCTCAGGGTGGGGCGGAAGGTATATATAACACATCCCGAAAAGGAGCCGGCAGGGGTCACGTAGGCAATCCAGGGTCTCAGGGGAGCCTGAGCTTTCTGAGTGTAAACGCTGTGAAATGTGCAAGGGAAAATACCGTGGAAAGTAAATGATCTTTCCATTGATGAGGCTCTCTCAGTAGAGCTGTTTTCCCCCTGCTGGCTTATTGGGCAGCGCGTTTACAGTTAGCCCTGATTGATGCCTGACAAAGCAGTGGGCTGGGAAACAAATAACGTTTATTGTGAGATTGAAACTGTAATTAAAAGAGTAATAAACTGTAAGGAAAACACACACATCACAGGCTGCCAAGGCAATAAGGGAGTTGAAATGGTGCCAGCCCTCCCCACCGTGCTCCGGATTTATTTAAAAACCATAAAATACTTTGTAATGCACAATAAAAACCAGATAAAATATTACAGAGCCAGAAACAGAAGGTTTATTAGCTACTGACTCGTACAGTCCTGTGCAGTATCTGAGTTTCTCACGTTAATAAAGAGAGAAATGTTGGTCCCATGGTGCAAATGAACATACCCTGCATTTCTGGCTCATTTCAATACGTGTTTCCCTAGACTCATTATAGTTCTGGAACATTCCGAGGGAATCTCTCAAATGGCTTAGACATAACCCGGACACATCATGTCAGATTTGCCACAGGGAGCCAACTTCTGCTCCGATCTGCATGGGTGTGATTCCCAATGAAGTCAATAGGCGTTGCACCCATGTAAATGAGAGCAGGATATGGCCCTCCGTGTTTCAATGGCACTCACTTCTGGTGCTCCCCCGCTAGTAACAGCCCCAGCCCAGGTAGTAGCTTCTGTCTGTTCCATGTCCTGCAACTCAAGTTCCACATGAGACATGCGTATCCTGGGTCAAGCATCCATCCCATCTGTGGGATTCTCTCGCAGGTGTCCCCCGGGCCCCAGCTGTCTCCATGGTTCAGTTCATAGCCTTGCTATTGGAGCCCAGATTAACATGTGTCCCACCTGTGGAACTTCTTGCCACAGGACGTTGTGAAGGCCAAGAC